TGACTTCCTGCATCTGTCAGATGAGTATAGCAAACCATTGATATGGAATTCACGCGTTAAAATTGCTCTTGGAACTGCTCGTGCATTAGAGTAAGTAAATAGTAAATATTTGCCAAATTAGACATTTTCTTTTTGTTTTTTTTTTCCTTATCTTTGTGTAGCAGTCTTGTGACCTGCAAAGCAAGTTATTTGTAGAACAATATTCTTTTTATCTCTAGGATATTTTCTGAGTGGCTTTGAGGAACTGATACAAGGATCATACAGGTACCTGCATGAAGTCTGCTCACCATCCATTATTCACAAAAATATGAAATCAGCCAACATTTTACTAGATTCTGAGCTCAATCCTCATCTATCAGACTCTGGCATTGCAAGCTTTTCCCCAAATGCAGATAAGGTGAATTTTGAGATTCTTGGGGCTCTATTTAGTTGTAGTCAGAGAACATTTTGTGTTGGTGAACTTTTGTTCTTTTCAATTTGTGTATGTTTGCATGTAAAAACATGTATAATTGTTGAAAATGAAATCAGGTTTCGGAAATGGATAGACAAAATATGGGTTGAGTTTGAAAAGAATGAAAAAGCTATTTTCAAACTTATGCCATATTTTCATTCTCATTTTCTAAATTTTGTTTCCATTTTCGAAAAACTATACATATTTTTGTATATAAAACATTTATGCATATAGATGATAGAAACTCAAAACAAAAATAAAAATGGCATCGATGTTTTATTCATAGAAAAAATTCATTTCCATTTATATTATGTTTTACACTAGCATGACATAGTTATGCTTTTAATCTCATTTGTTCTAATTTTTCAAATGCAATATTATATTTATTCTTTGCGTTCTATGGTTATCCATCTTGATGCAAATCCATACTAACGCACGTGGCTTCTGAACTTCAGAATGTGGTAGAAACACCCACTTTGTATGACTTGTGAGAATTCAATTGTGATTGTAATTCCGTGCATCTCAACTATGAACAACAACAGTTCTGCATATGGACTGAATTGCATGAACCATGATTATCTTTTGTTCATATGTGCTGGAATTGAACTTTTTTTTTCGTGTAAAATATGAAGGTATTGAACCAAAACGATGAAGGGTCTGGATATAGTGCACCTGAGGTTGCCATGTCTGGTCAATACACTCTAAAAAGTGACGTTTACAGTTTTGGAGTTGTTATGCTGGAACTTTTAACCGGACGGAAGCCATTTGATAGGTAAATGCAAACACACCAACAATACTACAATGTCCTTGAGATGTTGCTATCTCCAACAGTTTGACGAATACCTGGTTAATAGTTAGTTAGTTAACAACTTGTAATGTTTATGTACTTCTATAGCTCAAGATCAAGTCTGAGCAATCTTTGGT